TGTGCGTGTGTGCGTGTGTGCGTGTGTGCGTGTGTGCGTGTGTGCGTGTGCGTGTGCGTGTGCGTGTGCGTGTGAGTGCGTGTGTATATGTGTGTATATGTGTGTGTGTGTGTGCGTGCGTGCGTGCGCGTGCGCGTGCGCGTGCGCGTGCGCGTGCGCGTGCGCGTGCGCGCGCGAGTGTGTGCGTGTGTGTGTGTGTGTGTCTGTGTGTGCGTGCGTGCGTGCGTGCGTGTGTGTGTGTGTGTGTTTGCCTGCGTTTGCGAGCGTGTGCGTGCGCAAGCCTGTGCGTGTGTGCGTGTGTGTGCGTGTGTGGTGTTGTTGTGTGTGTGTGTGTGTGTGCGTGGTGTGTGTGTGTGGGTGTGTGGTGTGTGCGTGTGTGCGCGTGTGCGCGTGTGCGCGTGTGCTCGTGTGTACGTGTGCGCGTGCGCGTACGCGTGCGCGCGCGAGTGTGTGTGTGTGTGTCTGTCTGTGTGTGCGTGCGTGCGTGTGTGTGTGTGTGTGTGTGTCTTTGCCTGCGTGTGCGTGCGTGTGCGTGCGTGTGCGTGTGCGTGGGTGCGTGTGCGTGTGTGTGTGTGTGCGTGTGTGTGTGTGTGTGTGTGTGGGTGGGTGGGTGTGTGGGTGTGTGCGTGTGTGCGCGTGTGCGCGTGTGCGCGTGTGCGCGTTTGCGCGTGTGCGTGTGTGTGCGTGTGTGTGTGTGTGTGTGTGTCTGTGTTTGCGTGTGTGTGTGCGTGTGTGTGTTTGTGTGTGCGTGTGTGTGTGTGTGAGTGTGTTTTGTGCATGTGTGTGTGTGTGCGTGCGTGCGTGCGTGGTGTGTGTGTGTGTGTGTGGTGTGTGTGGTTGGGGGGGGGTCGTGTGTGTGTGCGTGTTCTCGCCCCGCAGGCCAAAAAGTTGTGTGTGTGTGTGTGTGGGCGTGTGCGTTTGCGTGTGCGTGTGCGTGTGCGGTGCGTGTGTGTGCGTGCGTGTGCGTGTGCGTGTGCGTGTGCGTGTGCGTGTGGTTCGTGTGGCGTGTGCGTGTGCGTGTGCGTTGCGTGGCGTGCGCGTGCGTGTGCGTGTGCGTGTGCGTGCGCGTGCGTCGTGTGCGTGTGCCGTGTGTGTGCGTGTGTGTGTGTGTGTGTGTGGGCGTGTGTTGGGTGTGTGTGTGTGCGGGGTGGGCGGGGGCGTGTGTGTTTGTGTGTGTGTGTGTGCGTGCGCGTGCGTGTGCGGTTGGCCCGCGTGCGCGTGCGCGCGTGCGCGCGCGAGTGTGTGTGTGTGTGTGTGCCTGTATGTGCGTGCGTGCGTGTGCGTGTGCGTGTGCGTGTGCGTGTGCGTGTGCGTGCGTGTGCGTGTGCGTGTGCGTGCGTGTGCGCGTGTGCGTGTGTGCGTGTGTGTGTGTGCGTGTGTGTGTGTGGGTGTGTGGGTGTGTGTCTGTGTGCGTGTGTTCGTGTGTGCGCGTGTGCGCGTGTGCGCGTGTGCGCGTGTTCGTGTGTGTGTGTGTGCGTGTGTGTGTGTGTGTGTGTCTGTGTGTTTGCGTGCGTGCGTGCGTGTGTGTGTGCGTGTATGTGTGTGTGTGTGTGTTTTGTGATTGTGTTTGTGTGTGTGTGTGGGGGGGGGGTCGCGTGTGTGTGTGCGTGTGTGTGTGTGTGTGGTGGGGGTCGTGTGTGTATGATTGTGTGCGCTGTGTGTGTGTGTGTGTGTCTTTCCTCGGGCGAACTTTAGCCTCCAGTTGAGTCCAGATCGGAGTAGGCTCGAGCTGGTCACCGGCCCGCCAAGGTCACTCGTCGCCGCCCTTATGCCGCGTGCATTCCTCCACCTCCGTGGCCATGTTGGCTCGAGCCGCTGGTGTGAGAGCGGGCCTTGACAGACCCAGGCGTGGTGCAACGTCCTCGATCGAGGTCGAGCATGGGGTGGAGTGGTCGTCAGCGACCGCGCTCGCTGCGGCTGACCAGGCGGCTGTCATCCTGGCGGCAGCTGCGCAGGGCGTCCCCCCGACAGACCTCCCCTCGTCGTGGAGCAGTCGCGACGGGAGGCCTCTGGCTGTCTTCGGCCTCTGGGAGCCCCCGCCGAGCCTCGGGTTCGTCAGCAAAGCTACGCGGGATGAAGACCTGGCCCTGGAGGGGCTCGGAGTTCTGAGTCCTGGCCTCGATGCTGGACGTCGATCGCGGCGTCGGAGCTCTGAGTCCTGCGCACGCAGCGCGTGCGGCGGCAGCAGCCCCGTGCGCCGCGCGGGGCCCGCGCTCGCGGGCGCGGGCAGGACGCCCTGGCAGCGGTGCGGCTGCGGGGCTGCTCGGCCGGGCACTTCGCCGAGCGCCAGCGTGGTCTATAGCCTGCCCCCGTCCCCGCTGGGCTGCGGCAGCCAAGCCCCGCCCGCACGCCCTCCCGGGCGGGGCCAGGCCCTGCGGGGCCCGCAGGAACAGGCACGCGCAGCTTCCCGCCCGCGGAGCGGGCGGGCGGGCCGGAGGGGCCACGGCCACGCCAGTGGGGCTGCGGATCGGTGGAACTCTTTACAGCACACCCCGTTCCCACCTCCAGGGGGAGGGTGATCCCAGGTCAGAATGCCGCCTCCCCGGGGTCCAAGCGGGTCCGGGGGGAGCGCCAGCGGGGGTCCCGGGGAGGTCCCGCCTTCAGGATGCTCGGGGCGCGACCACGGGCGCGAGTCGCAGCAGCGCGCAGTGACGGATCTCTCGCCGGCGGCGCTCGCGCACGCACCCGCCCGTGCGCAGTCGAGCCGGCGGCAGCGGGGAAGCGGCCGGCGGCGGGCACGCCGAGTTCGGCGAAGGGCGCCCCCCGCCCGCGGGCGCGCTTCCGGAGGCCCCGTGGGCGCTGGCCGGCCAAAGATCTCGAGCCAGGGTGGGTGGGCCCCCTCGTCGCCGCGGAGGCCCGGGGCAAGATCTCGGCGGCGAGCGAGGGGGGGGAAGCGAGAAGGAGAAGGCCTTCTCGGAAAGGCGGCAGGGCTGCTCAGGAGCCTCCCTGCGCGCCTTCTGAGAAGTTTCTGTTGCGTCTTCGGGCCGGGCTCGGAAAACTTCTCGGAAGGCCCGGGGACGTCCGGGCCTTCTGAGAAGGCCCGCCCCTTCTCACTTCCCCCCCTCGCTCGCCGCCGAAGGTCCGCGAGTCGGCCAGGCACAGGGGCGCGGCAAGCCGGGCGGCGCCAGAGGAGACGGCTCCAGGCGGCCGCGGTGCCAGGCGTGGGCATCGCCAGGCATGGAGCGCGCAGAGGTCGAACAAAAGCAGGAGCCGGGGCCCCTCCATTGAGGAGGGGCGGGCCGCGGCGGCGGGCGCGGGCGTCGCCCGGCGGGAGCTGCAGCGCTCGAGCGAGGAGTTCCCGCGGGCAGCCCTCGAGGAAGGGCCGCGGCACGCGACCCGGGTGCGCAGAGCCTGAGCTGCAATTTGCAGTCGGCCTTCTCTCTCTAGTATGGGCCGGGATGGCCCCCGCCGTCCCGCCCGACGGGGCTGCGGCTCTGCCCTGCGCGGCAGGCGCGCGTGGACGCCCGCCCCGCCCCGAGGAGAGAGGGCCACGCGCGGGCCGCGGGGGAGCCTCCGATCGCGTGCGCGGCCCTGGCGTCGGAGGCGCCTCGCGGAGGCCTTTGTGCACGGCAGGTGCGCGTCGCGCCGACGCGGTGGCGACTCCGCCGCGGGCGGTCAAGGTTTTGCACGCCAGAGGCCCTCGAGCCCAGAAGCCGCCAAGATGGAGCGGCCTGACGACCGGGAAGCCGCCGAGGGTTCCTTGGTGGCGACGAACCCCGTTAAGAGAAGCGATGGGGGGCGGGTCTTCCCATTGTTTTCCATGCGTCTCGTGAGTCCGAGGCTGCGGTGGCTCACGGGGACGGGCTCGCGGACGCCCAACTGTGCAGCGCACGCCTCCGCCCTGCAGGCCTCTTGCTGCGACGCAGGCTCGGAGGACCTGCTGCGCCTCAGCTACGGTGGGGGGCATGGGTTGAGGAATGTACACAGGAGGCGCCAGACCCAATGATGGCGGCGGTGATATCCAATGAGGATTCCTTATCCAATGAGGGCGGCGGTGATATCCATGGCCGATCCACGATTGGAGTTCCGCGGGCTTCCAGACCCTGGATTCCTCAGCCAGGGGTTCCTTGTTCGATGCCCTCACTGTGCTATCGATCCTCCTGCTCATCCGCCACCTCCTCCTCCAGCGGACAGAGGACGATCCGCGCACTTGGGAAGGGAACGGGTGGGTGGGAGGGGCACGACGTCGGCGTGCGCGCCCAGCTTGACCCCTACACACTGTTCATGTCTAATGCTCCGAAAGTTCTTTGATTTTTTTGGGGGCCAAGATCCTCCCATTTCTACTTGTTCTATATCCTGGGCCTCTTCCTGGCCACTGGGGGGCCAGGACCAATCAGAAACGAGCACAATTAGAAATGAGCACGATTAGAAGTGAGCGACGTGTACCCCTCTTTCCCCGCCCCCGCCCCTCCGCCTCCTCCTCAGACAGTCCCTGCCTCCTCCCCCCGCTGCTTCTCTGATGTTGCCCAGAGATGACAAGCGGTGCTTGTCGCGTCGAGGAAAACAGTGCTGGGCACTCAGGGAATAAAGACAATGCCGACTCTCTCTGAGCTGCTTCTCCTCCCCAGTCTTCCCTGCCCAGCGCCCCCCCCTCGTCCTACGTCCTCCTTCCTTCCCGCTCCGTCGTCCTTCAGATTCCAACACATGCACGTTTGCCCTTCCGTGTCCTGCTCCTCATCTGCAGCCTCGGCATCATCGTTCTGCACTTGTTTTCCTCTGCCTGCATCCCTGCCTGCTGCCCCAGAGGTTGGTCATCCTACCGGTTGAGCAGTTACTGTGGACGGGTTGGCTTTGTGTTCGGCCGGTGTTTGGGTCAGCGGGGGGGGTGGCCAGGGGGCTGGGCAGGGGTCAGCACCCGCATGTTTCCCCCAGGCGACCTTGTCGTGGCAGTATGAAGAAGTCTGTCCAGACCACCAAACGAGCACTTAGCCACCGCACGACCACTTGCATCATCCATCTGTCCGCGGCCGCGCCTCCGCCGCCGATGTCGTCATCCCGAGGCCGTCTTGACTCAAAGGGAGGTCACGTCGGCCAATGCTGGCCTGGCCAGCAGCCGTGCGTTCCGCGAACCGTGGGCAGGCACGTAAAAGAGGGTGCGGAGGGCGCCGCACCCTTGATCTATAGAAGTCACCGATCTCCCGGACTCACTACCAGCTTCAGCAATGGAGATCACGGAGGCGGCGCAGTGGGCCTTGAGGGTCGTGCTTCCCATCGTGCTGTTCGTCATCTATCCCAGAGCCTTCACGGCACCACGCCGCCGCCCCCGCAGGCGCAAGGACGCCTCTGCTCCAGGGCGCCTCGGGACGCAGGGGCGCCGCGGCGCCTCGGCCATAGGGCGCCTCTGCCCCCAGGGCCTTGGCATCGCTCGGACGTGTGCGTTTTTCCTTCGGCGAGGACCATCGAGGAGCATCCTTGATCATTTGGCGGCAAAACCATGCACGAAACCAACCAAAAAACATAGGAAATGGACGTCCGAGCGATGGCCAGGGGCGCCGGGGCGCCTCCGCGGCATCGCGCGGAAGCGTGCGTGCCCCCGGGACGCCTCAGAGGCGGCGTGGGGGGCGCCGCGCCGTGGAAGAGAGCGGGGGGCGCGGCGGGCCCGGCCCCCCGGACCCCCAGCCCACGAGGAGGAGGAGGAGGAGGAGGAGGAGGAGGAGGAGGAGGAGGAGGAGGAAGGAGGAGGAGAAGGGAGGAGGAGGAGGAAGAGGAGGAGGGAGGGGAGGAGGAGGAGAGGAGGAGGAGGAGGAGGAGGGAGGGGGAGGAGGAGGAGGAGGAGGAGGAGGAGGAGGAGGAGGAGGGAGGAGGAGGAGGAGGAGGAGAGGAGGAGCAGGAGGAGGAGGAGGAGGACCAGTGTAAAACCAAGAGTCATCCACGCTGTTGGAAGTGACCCTCCCTCCAAGCTCCCTCTTCCACAGGCCCCCACAGCGGTTCAAGTCCATTGAGGGAACTGCCTCGTTGGAGGACAGCCGTTTGAAGATCCTGAAGCATGCCAAGGCATTGTTCTCGGGATTTCAACGCCACGTATCAACTTGACTGTTGCGTCTTGACGATCCTGAATCGTGCCAGAGCGCCATTTTGGGGACTTCAACACTTTGAATCAACATAACTGTGGCACCCGCAAAATCTTGAATCCTTCCAAAACACCATTTCTGGTACGTTGATGATGGGAAGCCGTGAAACTCTCGCAAGTGTTTAACGCGAATGTGCACCGCGCTAAGGCTAAGGCGAGAGCCACATTTTGAAAAGGAACCGCCTTCAATCCGTGAAATTGTTGCAAATTTTGAAAATGAATGTGCGCTGCGCCAAGGCGAGAACCACATTTTGAAAACCACCCGCCATCAATCCGTGAAACTCTTGCAACTTAAAACGAATGCCCGCGGCGTTAAGGCGAGAGCCACATTTTGAAAAGGGCCCGCCCTCAATCCGTAAAACTCGTGCAAATTTTGAATGCGAATGTGCGCGGCGCTAACGCGAGAGCCACATGTTCAAAACGACCCGCCCTCCATCTGTGAAGCTGCTGTCGCTTTTTAAGTTTCAGGGTCATAAATGGTGAGGAAGTCTCAGGCGAAACGCCCGGCCCGCCCTAAAAACTGGCCTCGGGGTGCGAGAGGGAGGAGTTATCCATACGGAGAAGGAGAGGAGGAGGAGGAGGAGGAGGAGGAGGAGGAGGAGAGGAGAGGGAGGAGGAGAGGAGGAGGAGGAGGAGGCAGGAGGAGGAGGAGGAGGAGGAGGAGGAGGAGGGAAGAAGGAGGAGGAGGAGGAGGAGGAGGAGGATCGAGGAGCTCCCCGCCCCACTTTCGGCTCGCTTGACCCGCTCTGCCTCCCCGGGTCCCTCGGCGGCGAGCGTTGGGTGGACGTAAAAAAGGAGGAGGCCCTCGCGGAAGGCTCGGAAGTTCTCCGGCCTTCTTGGAAGGCGCGAGGGCCTCTGAGAAGCCCCGCCGCCCCCTGAGAAGGCCTTTTCCTTCGCACTTCCCCTCCCCCCTCGCTCGCCGCCGACTCCCGGAAGCAGCACGACGTTTTTTGTTGTTGGGGGCGGGCCGGGGGGAAGCCGACTGCGGCCCCAAGGGGGCCCGATAGCCCCAGAGCTCGCGCCGCGAGCCAGGGCGCTGGAGGTCCGGGGGGGGGGGAGGGTCATCGGGGGGGAGGGCGGTCTGACGGGAGAGAGGGGGGGGCTCCGCAGGATTTTGGAGGGCTCTCAGGGCTGGGAGGGAAAAGGAGGAGGATGGCGACGAGGAGGAGGGGGGTGAGGAGGGATGAGGAGAGGGGGGGGGGTGATGAGGCGGAGGAGGGAAGAGGAGGGAGAGGAGAGGAGGAGGCGGAGAGGAGGAGGAGGAGAGGAGGTGGAGAAGGATGATGATGATGATGAGGATGCTGATGAGGATTATGATGATGATATGAATGATGATGATGAATGATGATGAGATGATGATGATGACGATGATGAGATGATGATGATGAGGAGGATGAGGAGGAGAGGAGGAGGAGGAGGAGGGGAGGAGGGAGGAGGGGGCTTTTTTTTGGGTGGGGGCTGCAGGGGTGTGGGGTTTGTGAAGGCCACTGTAGACTTCCAGGACCACTCACCGAAGAAGAAAAAGATTGCACACATGCAAATACAGAGTACCGGAGCTCCGCGAGGATTGCTCGGGTCGGCGCTGGCCCCCCTTTGCGGCGCCTCCGGCGCCGCCCCTTGCGCGCCCCGAGCGCCAGCGAGGGGGTCCAGCGCTCATCCAAGAACTGCGCGCGGACCTCCGAACGGTTGCGTTTATACGCAGTTTTGTTGGTCCATTCGCGGGGCTGTGGCGACTTCCTCCTCCTGGGGGTCGGCGGACTTCTACTTCCAGTCCAATCCCGGCGATGAGAAGGGCTACTCGGGGCCGACGGGAAACACCCACACGCGAGGCTCCGGGGCGGAACACATGTTTTTGAACCCGCCTTTCATCTCCTTCTACTCTTGCTTCTCCTCCCCGCTCCCCCCGCTTTCGTTCGTCGTGGCGAAATCTCGACGGGAAATGTTCGATTTTGTTCGGCCCCGGGTGGCCTTCAACGGGCCTAACGGCTGTAAACTACTGCCCAGGATGAAAGCCGGTCCTGGGGAAGGGGTCCAGACCTTTGAGGGACATCGCTTTGAAAAGGTCGCGCCCTCGGGGTTCTGGATCAGTATCCTCTTCCTCCTCCTCCTCCTCCTCCTGCCCCTCCTCCTCCCCCTCCCATCATCGTCAAAATCATGGCTTGGACAGGGTGAGTTGGCTCTCCCAGCGGACCACCTCCGGGTGGGGATAGGCTCTGTGAAGCACGAGGGGAATTGAACTCGCTCCGACCAATCGGAGGGAGCTAGGCCGGCCAGCGGCGCCAAGGTTTCCTCGGTGGGGGGCGGGTTGGTTCCCCCACTCATCCTGTGGGGGAAAGTCCTCCACGATCTCCCTCTGCATGATTCAGGCGATCGCAAACATGGATGGAGGGGGCGTGGATTAGCGACGGGTCCCGTTTCCATCGGACATATCGGATTTCCGCCGCCGAACGAGGCGGCACCGGCCGCATCTTGTAGAGGGCACCTCCCCTGATTCGTGGATTTGGCGACCACGCGCCAAATCCATGGATCGCTCATCCATCTCTGCGCGCCCCCGAAAGATGCGGGAGGCGAAGGCGCCTGTCTTGGGGTTCCTCCCGAGGGAAGATGCTCGCGCGGCGGAAGCTGGTCGACGGTGACAAGCCCGCTTTCTTGGCCAACCTCTGCGTCAAGTCCCAGGCAGATGCGCCCGAGCTCTTCGCCAGCCGCGGAGACTCAAGCGGGGAGGGCGTGAGCGAGAGGACCTTTCGCACCGCTCCGCACCAATCTGTGTTTCCCAACCCTTCTGTATTGCTGGGTCCCCCGTAGGAAGCATCTACATCGAGAGACAGCTTTGAAACTGGATAATCAGGAGCTTGAGCGACCAGAAACGGTACGGGAAGTACTCTTCTTGGTCCATCCATCCGGCCTGCAGGCCGCAGTGCTCGTGGGAGGTGGAGGAGGGAGAGGAGGAGGAGGAGGAGGAGGAGGAGGAGGAGGAGGAGGAGGAGGAGGAGGAGGAAAAGGAGGAGGAAAAGGAGGAGGAAAAGGAGGAGAAAAGGCGGAGGAAAGGAGCGGGGAGGTGGGGCTGGGAGGAGGGGCAGGGGGAGAGGGAGGGGCAGGCGGAGTGGGAGGGGCAGGGGAGGAGAGCCCTACCTTCCCGACGCGGACTTTTCCGCCCCACGCGTTCGCACCGTTTGGGGCGCATCCCCGCCAAGTTTGCAAGTCGGAGCATCGACCAAAGCATTGCGGATCGGGAGTCGATGAAGGGGCGGAGAGCAGAGGGATGGGACCTCAGACCCCCTCCCCCTGGAGCTCTCGAGCACTTCGGCCTCTGAGGGCCCACAAGCCCGGTCCCCGGGAAAGGATCCAGACCTCTGGCGGCCGTCGTTGCGACAAAAACCAGGACGACCGAGTTCAGGGAGGGGGGGAGGAGGAGGGGAAGGGGGGAGGATGGGGGAGGGACCAGGGAGGGAAGGAGGAGGAGGTGGAGGAGGAAAAGGAGGCCAGAGGTCGGCGGATTGCACAGGCTTATACGGTTAGCTGGTGCGTGAAATCAGGATGGGTGTCCTGCCGTGGTGCCACCTTGTTTTTTTTATAGAGAGCGTGTAGCCCCACTGTGTGTGTGACCAGCTCCGAGAGTGGTATTGACCGCGCGAGCGCAAGGAGGAGGAGGAGGAGGAGGAGGAGGAGGAGGAGGAGGAGGAGGAGGAGGAGGATAGAAGAGGAAGGAGGCGGAGGAGGAGGGGAGGAGGAGGAGGAGGAGGAAGGGGAGAACGAGGTGGGGGACAGGGGAGAGGGGGGGACCCGCGGGCCACAGCGGTGCTGGAACGGTGCTCGGTCCTATTGTTCTCCCCTCCGGTGGCAACGGCGGCCCGACCCGCCTCCCGTGACGGAGTCGCCTCCCCTTCGCCCCCCCGCCCCGCCCCTCCCGGCAGCCGCCGGCAGCCGCCCTCGACCAGGGCCTGGGCTCTGCTCGACGGCCCTGGGGCTCTCTGGAGACCGGCCTCGGGAGGCCGAACATTGGGAAACACTTGGGCGCGACTTCATGTTAGCTTTGGCTTGTCCCTAGGGAGATGCAATAATAGCCAAAAAGCAGTCTGGCCACGAGGTTTGACTATTTGGGATGATGCCTAAAGTTTTGTTTTGACCATGTTTCATTTTTCGTCCAACATCAGCATGAGGGAGGACATGCCCGACCTAAAATTTTAATGGGGGGGGCAATCTAGGGGGGGGGGGGGCAGCGAGGGCTGCAGAGAAGGAGCCCTTTTGGGGGGCCCCGAGCGGGCCCCTTTAGGCCCCAGAGGGTCCCCAGAGGGCAGCAGCGGCTGCCACCCGGACAGCCGCGCTTCGGGCTCCCCTTTGCCCCGCACCGCGGTGCTGGCCTCGCAGGCGGAGCGGCTTCTCGGCCTTCCCCCCCGCCGTCGACGCTCGCTCAGGTCTGCCAGTGGCACACCTGCAGACTCGAGGCTCGCTCGCTCGCCCCCCCCCCCCCTTTGTCGCAACCCGCGCCCCAAAACACGAGAGCGACGCAAAAAAACAACGGGCCCAACGCGTGGCCGATGCAGTCTCGCGGTGTCTCTCGCGTGCTGTCACTGCGGGGGATATGTTGCACCAGTTCGAAAAAAAAACGGGCCCAACTGCGCCGACATTGGCGCGCAGGCTGCCCGCGCAGGCTGCCCGCGTGAGGTCGCGCGCGAGCGCCCTCGCTGCCGATGGGGGCGTGCCGCGCGGGCGGCTCGCGCAAGCTGCCTCGTGAGGTCCGGGTCGCCATGCCGTCTCGGGTAAATCAAATCTACAGTCGATCCCCATACTCGAAGGCTCTGATGTTCCAACCTACTTTAGCCTTGATCACCAGAAAATTATCCCGACAAAGCAACCTAACAGCGATGTGTAGGAGCATATCTGGAAGCATTCCCCTTAAGATTCAGATGAGAATCCAGTTGTAGAATTCTGCTGTTCTCGCAGTCGTGGTCGCATTCGCGATGACAGTCGCAGTGGCAACGGCAGTCACAGTCACAGCCTCCGCCTCAGCCTGCCTCAGCCTCAGCCTCAGCCTGCCTCAGCCTCAGCCTGCCTCAGCCTCAGCCTCAGCCTGCTTCAGCCTCAGCCTCAGTCTGCCTTCAGCCTCGGCCTCAGCCTCAGCCTGCCTCAGCATCAGCCTGCATCAGCCTCAGCCTCAGCCTCAGCCTGCCTCAGCATCAGCCTGCCTCAGCCTCAGCCTCAGCCTGCCTCAGCCTCAGCCTGCCTCAGCCTCAGCCTCAGCCTGCTTCATCCTCAGCCTCAGTCTGCCTTCAGCCTCGGCCTCAGCCTCAGCCTGCCTCAGCCTCAGCCTGCATCAGCCTCAGCCTCAGCCTCAGCCTGCCTCAGCATAGCCTGCATCAGCCTCAGCCTCAGCCTGCCTCAGCCTCAGCCTCAGCCTGCTTCAGCCTCAGCCTCAGTCTGCCTTCAGCCTTGGCCTCAGCCTCAGCCTG